TCGAACCGCTGAAGCGTTGACCATTGCTGGCCAGCAACTTTCAGCAGTATTAAGCCGCTGCGCCACCACGTCCCCTTATGGGAGTTTACCATGGCAATAAGAATGGAGAAGCATGGTCCCTTGTCATCTTTTGCTTATTGCATCTGCACATTCATGTCTAGCAGCTCTGTTCGCAGTTACGTTTAGGGGAAGATAGGGCAAAGACCCTCCTGCAGATTGTTACGATATATTTGCAAATTTCTTTGCTAAAAAAAAAACACTGACATTTACTCAGAGCTGGATTTTATGTAGTGAGATGACTTGGGTGAAATCTTTTGAAATTATCTGGGATTCTTTTGAACTTGCGGAGACTAAGGGTGTGGGTAGGGCTCTTTGTGGCATGGGTTCCACCACCTGTAAGTTTGATCCATGTGCCACTTGGCATGTGGTAGCTGGATTTGGAAGTTATTAAGGCATCTTTAAGATATGTGGTACCAGCTGTCTTCAAGGAGGCAGTGGTGCATTTCTTCCTGAAGAGGCCATCTCTCAATTTTGAACAATTGGCCAATCTCTAACTTTCCCTTTTTAGATTCAGGTCTGGACATGGAACTGAAACGACACTGGTCACCCTGGTGAATAATCTTTGTCTGGGCCTAGATGAAGACTTTTCACATTCTCCTAGTCTTGGCAGCTTTCCATGCCATCAAGCTTGGTATTTTTCTGGACTGCCTGTGAGGACTGGGGCTTGGAGATTCTGTTCTTCAGTTTTCTGCTCCTTCCTGAATGGGTGATTCCAGGCTGCAATATGAGGTTGTGCAGTGCTCAGTCCTCTCCCTCATGTTTAATATCTACATGAAACTGCTAGGAGGAGCAATCCATCCATATAGTATCATTGATACTCAGCTGTACATCGTCACCCTAGATCAGATCATGGGTACTGACAAAATTCTGCCCTGGTGCCTGGAAGCTTTGTGGGCCTGTAATCCAATGAACATGGATTACATTCCTGCAAGTCAGCTCAATTAATTGTTCCAACATTGACTGTGAATAGATCATCTCTACCCTAAAGAGGTAGGTCTGAAATTTGGAGCACTTCCTGGACTCCCAGTTCCTTTTTAGAGCAGCAGGTGGAAGCCATGGCCAGTTGTCTAGTTTCAGGTGGCGCACCAATTATGGTTCGTTTTTGGACCAGGAGGACTTTGCATCAGTGACTTGTGTTCTCTTCATCTCAGGAATAGCCTCTTGAAATACATCTGAAGAAGCCTGAGAAGTGTCAGTTGGTCCAAAATGTAGCAGATTTCAGTATATCCTGAAGCAGATTTAGGAATGTAATATCTGTGCTACAGTCACTTCATTGGTTACTGGTTTGCTTCCTGATTCAGTTCAAAGTGATGTTAATTACTTTTAAAGCCCTACTTGGTTTTGCACCCAATATCTACAGAACCATTTTTACCACCAGATTTGGCTCACCCTGTGGAGAAGATATTCTGAGGATTCCCACCCCACATGAAATGAGGAGTGTAAAAGTCAGGAACTTCTCAATGGCTGCCTCCACACTTTGGAACGCCTTGCCTCCTGAGATAAGGAATGCCCCCAAACTCTTTGCCTTCAAGAAGGCATCAAAGACCTTGCCGTTCTCCAGGAAATTTAGCACTAACATTAGAAGGGCTGCCTTATATTGGTTGGTTTGAACTACCAATTGTTTTTATCATTTTGTATCTGCTTTGTTCTGAACCACCTTGAGTCTGCAGGAAAAATTGAAAATATGAATTTAAAAAATCCACACTTATTATATAGGACCAAGCCACACAGTCTTCTTGCCCTGAGGTGAGGTCAGCCCACTAACCATTTCCAAAAAGCATGCATGAATGTGTTAAAGCTCTATGGACAACAGTGCAGCACAGGCCCATTCCGAGTTTGTAGCAAGGTGCAATGTGAGGCCAGCAAGATTTAGGGCAGCATGATTTCCTGATGGCGCTGGGATGGGAAGAGACAATGGCAAAGCAGCGGTGTGGATGTGGCAATAGCCAACCATGTACTCCATCCAAAGAAGTCACTTTTCAACCCCCTCAGGGAACCAATTCATGTTGTGCTCTGCCCTCAATTGTATTCCTGTGCCAGGAGGACCAGCCATCTCTGAGGGTGGCACTTGCTTGAAGAGGCTAGAGAGCTATCCAACATATCTTGAGCACAGGTGTTATAAACTGAAAGCTTGAGGAAGGTCAATAGCAATTATCCCTGTGAATCTTGAATATGTGTATCTTTGAAATATGTCCACTACTGTGGCACCCAGCTTGGCAAAAGGCAATTAGGATAGTCAACTGCTCTAATATGCTTGCTCTGTTGTTGTTGTTATTGCTGTTGTTGTTACATTAGAGCACTGTACTGGTGGTATGATATTCTACCATCTACAGTCCACTGGAGAGTTATTTCTTGTTGAAATATTTCTCACTACTGCTGCGCATCCCTGCTGAAGGAGCTGTTGGGTAATGACTGTAGTTGCCTTGTAATCAGTCTTGTGCCAAAAGCCAGAAATTCTTCTTATTCAAACTGGTTTTTGAATCTATAATTAAATTGCTGCACATTTGGGGATGGCTCCAAAAATATCTCACTTTCCATGAATATTAATGCTTAATGTGGTTTACTAAATTGGCATTTTTAATGCTTAATGTGGTTTACTAAATTGGCAGAAATTAATTTAGTCTTCCTTCATCTTATGGCTGGATATGATCTGTAGCAGCCTTCTCCAACCAACTAAACACTGTTGTCCCAACACAGAACACATTTGGAGGGACCCGAGTGAAAAAGGCTGGCCTTGTAGCCTGTATTTTATACAGAGCAACTGTTGTGACTTCAACCTCTATTTACTCCGTGGGTGGAAATAGCGGCCCAGGATCTCACTTAGAATTTTGGGAGAGGACTTAGAGCCTTAGAGTGAATGGGACCACATCATCCATGAGGGATTTGGGGGATTTTTTTTGTTTTTAGAGATTATAAATTAGTTTTTTAATGTTTTTCACCACCCAATGGTTGGAAATGGGGACTTCTGTTTTAGCAATCATGGCCAGAGGGCTATCAACCTGGGACTTGGGACTGCACGGAGCCCTGCTTTACTCCATCATTTAACCTGAGCAATACGAATGGGACCCATTCGTAGATAATGTACTACAGCCATTTTCTACTGCTGTGTGATTTTTGATTGTGTTTCCTTTTCCTTTTCTTCTAACCCATGTTTGCTCAATGGATTGTGTTTCTTTGCCTTTGTTTTCTTTTTCCCTTCTGTCTGAAGCATTGTAGATTATTCAAGCTCTATCTCCATTTCTTGTTTCCAGCTCAATGTGCCACCCCAAGCCCTCCCACTTCCCCAGCTTCCCCGACTCCACCGACCAAGTCCCTCTCGTCTGACTCATCCCAGGGCACCGAAAGTCATTTTATGCGTGTCTGAACCTTAAAGTAAGCACATTTTCTATTATATTCCCATCTCATTCTTGTGTATCTCTTGGAAAAAAGAAGTGGTAAGCTTCTTTTTCAACAGAGTTTCATCTGTTCACCAAACCTACCCATCCACTGATATCCATTAAGCTAACATTTTCTTCTTTGTCATATAAGCTCAGTCTCCTTCCATGGAATTAATGAAAGATTCATCAGTGAATCAAGCTGCCATATCTTCTTCTGGGTTTACTAGGACAAAGTAGACTAATTCAATCAGTTATGTTTCTCTTACATCAATTTAGAGCAACATTACAGCAAGTCTTCTAAATTGAACATAATGCTATAACCTAGAGCGTATTAGCTGTGTACCAAGAAGCCCTGGTTTACATCTCACTTCGATCACAAACTCTCTAGGCCATTAGTATTTTCCTTCGATTTTCTTAAAACCAAAAGTTGGTTTGGAGATAATGAATTTAAGCAAAATAGTCACAGAGACTAGATTAATCGATAAAAGGAAGCTGGGGTTGTGAGGTGAGGATAGGGAGTTACTTTATGAACTAACCAAAAACAGATAAGAAACAGCTCTTCTCTTTATATTCCTCTCTCTTTATTCACATAAAAATAATCTTGCTAGATTATTGAGAGTTAAAATTGGGTGAAAGATACATCTAATGACATTATACTGTATCTAGTGGAGCTGTGCATGCTTCAAAAACAATGCAAAAGAGGTCCTTCAGATCATGCAGAAGGAAAAACACAAGACTTCTGTGAAGCAGCAGGCATTTTTTTCAGGCTTCCATACCTATTGAAACAGCTGCATCTTTAACATGACTCTTAAAGCATCTGCATCAGTTTTCAGATCCATATAGAAGCTTGAAAAAAGATACACTGTTTTAAGGAGATGCTGGGCTCAAGCACCTGAATGTTCCAAAGCACATTTTATGAGTCATTTTCAAAGCATGCACAATCCTAGTGTCAAGTCTTAGCCTATAGTTTCAGATTCAGTTCCCTGTCTGTATTATGGCAATAATATTCCTAGCCTGCTCCATAGGCTACTATAGAGATTACAGAGTTAATATATTACAGAACCTATTCAGAAAAATTATCAAGATCCAGTATTTATCTTCCCAGAAATGTATGTCCATTTATGTATGTATTTATTAACATCTGTCATCAACTTCTTGTTGAAGCTAGCTTTCGTTCAGACATATCTTGTCTTTACATCCCATGGATTCTCCAATCAAATCTGCTATTTATGACCTTTGAAAATACATGTTTTTTTTCCCCTGGTCATGCACTAGACATAACATGACCATAGTATCCCATAATAACTTTCAGAATTTGTAAATCTCCAGTTTTGCCATCCCAGCTGTCAAATTACCATTTTCAATTCAGAGACCTTTCTAAGACTGCTATGAAAAATTGCCTTTGGGATATGCTGTGAAAAGCAAAAACTGTTGCAAGAAGAAGCAGAGAGGTACATAGGTCCCGCTTATTATAAATTTGGTTCTGGATCCAACATTTGGGAAAAGTGATCATCAAAAGCATTCTTAGTCAAAACTGGTATGTGCCATCTTGTTATAATTTCTCTATTAATTTCAAAATGTGCAAGTGTACATATGCAAAACTGCCAAATTTTGGACAATATAGCCACAAAAAGGATAATCTGTTCTCAGTGCACTGAAGATGTTACCTAGCCGGGTATTGAAACGTTTGGAAGAAAAGCACCAAGCTCAGAGAACCCCAAGGATCCACATTAAATGTATTATTCTCCCCTCTCCACTTAAATGCTAGACTTCTGTCCTGTATTTAGTAATGGCTGATTTGGGAGTGACACTGGCAGTGGAGGAGTTGTAACAGAAGCAGTGGTGACAGCTCTTCCCTCAAACACTGCCTTATTCCTTCTGTGCCCCTTTTCTGCTATGGTTCTCTTGGGGACCCATGCTTGGACTACCAATCTGGGCTGACAAATCTAAGTGATCATTCAACATGTCAACAAAGAGATACAGAAAAGTCTTTGATGTGATCTAGTGGTCATTTGGATATTTGCAGCCCATACGTGGTGGTTCTATCCCACACAATCAGGTTTGTTGAATGAGCGGGACAAAGAGTGAGCAGTAAGGGCAACCTTTGTGGGCCCTCTTTGCCTATGGATCCCAAAGTAGCTATATTTATACTGTTACCTGCAGGCTTGGGTTTCAGTGATTATCACTAACTTTCTGCCTCTTCTCTTCCTCCTCCCCCAGCACAGGCCCTGGCTGCTGTGAATGCTGTGAAGTTCCATGGAGCCACATTTTAACACATGAATCTGCTCCCCCACAACACTACTGCTTAATAATGCATACAACCATTATTATGGGTTGCCCACTATCTCCTGCTGTTGAGCTGCAGAAACATTCAGGAACGAAAGCTGCCTCTGAGGGGAATAAGTGTGCTTCATCTTTGCTCTGGTTTCTCCTCCCACTGCTGCCAAGGCCTGTACCATAACGTATCAGATGCCTGGCCTATAAAAACCATCACAAAGGCAGCACCCAGGAGCAGTTCCATTCTGCAAGATGGCCTCTTCCTCACTGCAGGAGGTGTCAGGACAAAGGACCAGTGGCTAAAGATCAGCAGATGCCTCAAATAATTTGAACTGAAACATGAAAGTTGGTGATAGTAGGGGAATGTAAAATTTCTTATCCCTAGGTAGCCATTTCCTGAGCTTCTAACCTCTTTCATCATTTATTTTTATTTTTATTTTTATTTTACTTTTTACTTTTTTTTTTTTTGAAGGAGGAGAATTATATAAAGAAGAGCTTGTCATGGCAGCCAGGGACTTTATAACCATTTTACTGAATTGAACATCATTTTTTTTCTTCCCCACACTTTGGCCCATCTGCCAATTTGATTGGCTTTAGCAACTTTAATCTATGGAATTAAGCAACCCATGCATGGTCATGCTGCTTATACTCATACCTACTCGCTCACAAGAAGAGAAAGAAGAAGGAAGCATCACTGAACTTTATGGATATGGCAGATGAAGAAAACAGAAGGCTCTCAGAGTGGAGGGAAAAACAACAGAAGAAGCTTTGGAATCTGCTAATTCTTGGGAAACTTGGAGTGGCTGTGATAGGCTGAAGAGTTCCCCCCACCCCCTGCTTTTCCTAAGCTTCTGAGGAAGATGGAACAGGAAGTGTGTGCAGTGTATGTGGACATGTAATAGAAGTGTGGATGAAAGATACAAAGGGGAAGGATGGCCATGGAAAAGTTCAACTTGATGGGATAAACCACTTTGTGTGTTTTAAAGCTTACTGTGACTCAAAAGTGGGACTGGTAGGTGACATATATTTATTCTCATATCAGAGCCAATTCAGAATAGTGTCACTCAAACCTTGGTTCTTCAGGGTATAAGTTTAAATATTGGAGCCAGAAAGAAAGCTGCGTGCTGGGAAGATCTCTGCATAAACTAACTAATGAAATAGTAAGTCTGCAAGAGGAGATGGAAATGTGTCTGAACTTGACCAAAGCAAGTTATGAGTTGGTTCCATAGTATGTGTAAATCAATCCTCTCCTATGTATCATTGGGAGGATAAAGTAAGGCTTCTTCAATTTCTGCCATTTGTAGCATTCCACTCAACTTTAGAAAAATAAGAGCAACATTTACTTTGAAGTAGAATTTTCACATACAGTGCTTTTCCTCCATCTCTGCCCAAGCTAGAGCTATAATAATAATGGCTGGTGAGCTTTCAGAGGAGCTAAGCTCCTTTGTCAAGAGTGAAAGACCTTTGCTGAATTGGCTTCTATCAGCACCTGAAAGAAGGCTGCTTTCCCAAATGAATCCTCATTCTTTTCTAAACAAATTGTGAAAATAATTCAGAAGAATAGGACAGAAGAGTAGTTACAAAGAAAGGACTTGGGAAATTTACTGTTGTCAAATACAGTAAGTACCAAGTTGTCCTAACTTGCATTAAACTAAATCAAAGATCTAATTTGGACCTTTTTCCACACACTGCAGTTGTATGCTCCAAGATTTATACATGGTAAAGCCTAAATACCATTTAAAGCTAAGATAATCTCACCTCTTCAGAAATAATCAGACTTTGCATTAAAGCTGGTATCACCTCACAATTAGAATTACTTACTATTGAACTTAGGCATGGACAGGACTTAGTTACACCCAACCTAGTACTTTGAAAACAATCTGTTTATTCATAGTTGAATCAAAATATAATTGGATGATCACGGGGCTCATGGATTTATTCAAAGCCTATCAATTGATCATGCCCAATATAAAGCCAACTGGCATCAATTTTATGGAAGTGATTAAAATTGTTCTAGTTATAGTTCAGAATACAGAGATACAGTTAGCTTCTTTATTTCATTGACCTAGATTTTCAGATGTGCTCATTCCCATGTTTTCAAAAATTTTGCATTCCCTTCCCCACCCCCAATATTTTGCTTCTTCACAAGTACTCAAAGGAAGATACTAGTGAACAGTTGGCACTTTAGACTATGATTTTAGTCTAAGTGGCAATTTAGCCCTGTTGAAATGATCAAACATTTTGCCTTATAAAGATGTCCATAAATATATTTATCAGTATATCCAAAGATTTGTCAAACCTAGAAATTCTGTTTCTATATTGTTGGAAGGAATAACACTGCTTCAACCTCTAATAGATGTAATTCTTAAGGCAGACATTAAATGTGAATTTGGTTATGGAACATAACCCCTCCACTCCTACCCTACACATTTTCTTTTGTAAGTCACATTATTTTAATTAAGGCAGGATTCTTTACAATGATGCATGAAAGGCTAGTTGGGATCCCAGCTGAAACAGAAAACACGACCTTTGAGCATCACTGTTCCTTTTGTTCAAACTTCTTCAAATAGTCTTGTAAATTATCACTATTTTCCCCAGCTATCAAGGAAGTCTAATTCTTTCCTGGCTTTCCAGGAACAATTTTAATATCCAGCATACCTAGTTGAATCAGTAGATGGCATATAGTATCAATACACATAACTCTTTCAAATTCAAGTTTAAGTAGGTGTGACATGTGATTTGCCTTGATTTCCTATGTAACAAAATGAGTTAATACTTTAATTTAAAGAGTTAAAATACTACAGACGGGAAGCATCTCCACAGTATATTTTTCTCTCTTGATACCACTTTTTGCTATGAAGAAGTGATGCCAAGGAGGAATCATTTAGGAAGAGTGAACTAAAATGGAGAGAACTCAGCAGTACTTACAGTATAATGCGCACCTCATCCCATGCCCTCTTCCCAGCATATACTGTATGTGATTTGGGCAACTCCCACCTTTCAAGACTTAGACCTGTCCTCTTCAGCTTCCTAGGAAAAGACAATGGCAAACCACTTCTGTATCAAGAAGGCCACAGGTTCACATAGTCACCAGGATTTAAACTCAACTCAAGGATATGAAGTCTAGTTTGATCCTAAGGGAATGGAGTCCTGTTTACAAAATGAAAAGAGCTAACTGCAGTATCACCAAATGATTCCTTGTCACCTCTATTTTGTGGTAAGGATACAGTTCTAAAGTAATAGTGCATTGATGGAATTTGGCTGACTCAGCAAAGTCTCTTAGCAGCCAAGCAGCATCTGCTTTGATGATTTGCTGATCCATTCTAGTCCACATAGGTTAGACTAAAAAAATATGGAGTGACCTGGCATGTCAGTCCATTAGGAGGAATATTTCCCAGATCCACATGTAGTAGAAGACTTAAGCTGCAAAATTACAGTGAGTAAATCCCATTGAAATAAGTATGGCTTATTTCTGAGTAAACACACATAGGTTTGCACCTGTTAGGCTTTAATCCTCAATGTGCTTATAGTAAGGCTTTCTATCCACATAGGAGCTTATTTCTAAGCACACATGCATACGATTATTCTGTTAACCTTCTATTTTCTGAACATTCATTTTAACTCCAAAGTATCTCTGGGAGGGTTCCAATGTTGACATTTTCAAAATTTGTCTAAGAATCTATCTCAATATGTATTAAAAGGAATTAATGTCTCAGCACCCAAAATCATCTTTCTGACCTAACAGTTTAAGTGACCAATGTTCCCACCTTGCAATATGGAATCTGGCTTGATCAGGTTCTCTGTCCTACTGCTTGCCACAAAAGAATTACTGCCTTGGCATGTCTAAGAGTTCAGCTTCATCCATATTTACAGGAGAAACTTTACAGGACATCTCCCTGTCCAATAAAGATGATGGCTCCTTTTTATTATTTAAATGGTCCTGTTGGCAATACATAGACCACTCCAGAGAATCAGCATTTTAGACCCTTTCTTCTCCTTTAGCAATACAGTTGACATTCCACGTTGATGAAGATGATGATGAAAGTATTTTGTTCTGCTCTTGCAGTAGCTTCTATTAGCTCATAAAAAACTATCCCTTCATGATCCTCTACATGCCTTAATATGTGTTTTTAAAAATTA